GGGTCTACATTGGGTCCCCTTATTTTGGGAAACTATCAAATTCCTGTAACCTGGAAGCCCAAGTCTGCTCGATATTTTCGATCCGTCCCACATCCTACTTATGGAGTTTTGCTCGTAAAAAGATACCTCAACTGATAACCTGAACTGAGAATCCCTGACATCCCCAAAGGATCCCCAAGACTTCCAGTTTGAAAGCCCGATCCATACGGACTTAGGACCTAAGCCCAAAGTCAGACCTAAACCCTAAACCCTGTAAACCCTAAACCCTGTAAGCCCGAATAATGACAAGGCTCAGCTGCCTTCAGCGAGCCAACATTCCGGGAGTCAGGGAGCCGCAGGTTGCTGTCACTGAAACGCTCCATTTGAGTTTGAGGTCGAATTGCAGGGTTAAGCGTTAGTTTTCTACGTTGAGGGTTGGGGCTGTGGGCTAGATTTGCAGGGGGTCTCCGAATTTCAGTCTGAGGCCTCGAAAACCCTTCGACCACTGCTTTGATTGTCTCACCTAGCTTGACTACAGGTATTGTGGTCGAGCCCTAAGTTGCAGGCGAGCGCGCCTGGCGTTGGCAGCCGCCGGCGCTGGTGCTGCGCGCGCAGCCGCTGCGGCCGTCGAGGTCATCTCAGGGCCGTAGCAGTTGTAGGGGGCGTAAGCAGCTCGACAGGGCAGGTCAGGGGAGATCTTCCATCCTCCTACATTTTTCACGTTATTTAAACCTGGATGCTGTTGCCTTGTCCGTACGGCTCTTTAAAAAGCTTTATTCGTGCAATCTGGCTTGAGGCAGGGACGGACGCACTCCGCAAGCTGTGTGATGCATGGTGAGGGTGAACACCCTAGGTGTTGCGATTGCGAAAGGCATCCCCTGGAGATATGTCCCCTGAACTCTGGTGCAAGCCATGCGCACTGAGCCTAGTTGCAGAACTATGAGCTAAATCTTCATACTGGCATTTGGACTTTGGGTTTCCCAAGCCTTCCTTGTTCTAGTAGGGTTCCTCAACGTGCAGGTTGTTTTATTGTTTGCGTTCCATGTGCAGTGGCAATTTATCCAATGGAGATGTAGTGGACACATGGGTTAATTTTGTTGGCTGCGCCAATCACTTGGCACCGATCAAACGACATAGGGAACCCCCTTCAGGCGCCCCCGGCCGAGCGCCGCACGCGAAGGTTCCGAGAGCATGCAACCATCGCCTTAGAAAACATGATGGGCCCTTGTAGCTTGGGTTGGGGATTTCAAGTTTAGGATTTAGGGAGAAGTCTTGGTGTTTCGGAAATTTAGGACTTTCTTTGCTGGGCCCTGGGTAACGTCCCAAGAAAATTCAAGGAAGGTACTGTGCTAGCTAGTTGGCTTTGGGGAACAGAGGACTGCTTCCACAAGCACTGCTCATATATGTGGGGCTCCTGCAGTCAGGGGCTTGCACAAGTACGACTTGGCTGGAGCTCGATGATGTGGCTTTGGGATCTGCCTTGAGAAAAGTGTCTATGTTCCTGTCAGGCATGTCACAGGGCGAAGTTGTGAGTGAAACTCAAGACCCTAAGTATCATGGCCGTGCATCTTAAGCCTCATGTCCTAAGTCCCTGGGCCCTCCACACCGAATTCTCAAGCCTCAAGTGAAGAGGCGGCGAACCCGACGTCGCCAACCCCCAGAGCCAAAAGCAGAAGAGGGCTCGTCTGTCGGCTCCGAGGAGCTTAATATATATTCCCTTATTCCCCCTATATATTATAGTAAATATCCCAATAACCCCTATAATGGAGAATCAAATTGAAAAGAAAATGGAAAATGAAATGGAAACTGGGATTATGTAGTAGTTTCCATTTTCTTTTCCATTATCCCAATATTACCCCAATATACTACTATTGTTACTATTGAGGGTTGGGATTGGTGGGGGGGAATTTCACTTCACATGTTGTGTTCAGACCAAGTAGGCTCATTGTTTTCTTTGTGTTGACCTTCCATCTCAATTGGGAAGTCTGGATTGCAGGGGTGGTTCAGAGGGGCTTCGGGTTTGAAGCTTGAACCTCCGAAGCCAGTAGCCTCCGGGCTGCGGGTGAATTTACTAGATGTAGGGCTTCTGGCGAAGCCAATAGTGTAAGAATTCTGGATGAGGTTTGCTTTAACTGCAGAGTCAGACATCATCTCTAGTCCGGAGCCACAATTTCAGTATTTCTGCCGCATCTGAGGATAGGAAAGCCAGATGTGCAGACATGTACGTAGGTGAAGTTGCAAGCATTCGGTTGTAGAATGAGTCCGAGGCAGGCTGTGAATCACACATTGGCTAGTTCCGCCTTGCTATCACGGCTTCCTGCCTACAGTTCCCGAGCAGGAGGTGGGAGACCCATCTCGGAACCTACATTAATTAAGCTGAAGCCATGGATCTGGGTGGAGAGGTTCACTAGCGCTCTTCGCCTCTGAGGTTAGCTATGCAATATCGGCACAGGTCTACACAGCTAACTCAGTTTGCGGTTCGCACGCATTGCAAAGTATGGTTGAGAGGCCGATGCCTTTCGTTTGGGCTCAGCATGCAAGGCTCTTCCCCTTGACGTGAGTGAGAGCGTTCCTCCAAAATGCATACGTACCCAGCATACCCGAGTTTGTAGGAGCTTAGATCACCAGCTCTGCATAGAGCACAAGAGTAAGAGGAGGCAAGCAGCAGCACCTTGTTAGATGGGGAGGATGTCAGGGTCAATGACGTGAAGATGAATATTTCATAGCAGTACGCTTTGCCCCCGCATTGCCATCCTTTCAGCCCCAGACCAGGCAAAGGAAGTGGAAGTTCCGGTGGCCAAGGGTGACAACGACAATGACGAGGAGGTCTTGAGCCTGCCAGCAACTTTGGAGTTTCCACTCTGGGGTACCTGGCAAAAGCGTCATGAGTCTAGGATACCAACAGTGAAGCCAGGTACAAAAACAAGGGATTGCACTAGGAGGTTAAGGATGGGGGAGAAAGTGTTCCGAAAACTGGAGTTGGCATTGGCGAACTGTGGCGGTTCTGGGTTAGCAATGTATCCTGGAGATTGGGACTACTTGGGACTTCAGGAGAAGATCTCCTACAAGAGAACAAAAGTGCTCGGGTTGTCAGCAAGGTATTGGTCTTTGCATTTTATTTGTCAGTTTTCTTGATTTCCTGACATGGCGTTCTTACAGTGCAAGAAGAGTCCGGAAGGATCTAATCTGGAATCTGCACCCTTTGGGGGTTTCAGCTTGCAATCCAAAAGCAATCATGTGAACCTTCCTGCTGAAAAGACAACTCTACAGTTGATTGTTCCCCTTGCCCCCTGACTTCCCAAGGCGAGCACCCAAAATGAGAACAACTATTATTCCCGCACGCTCCTTCGACAAGACTGGCAGCCCCAGAAGCTTGTTTCCATATATTCATTCTGAAACCACAGCAGATCTACATCCCAGCATGAGTCGAAGGCCTCCGGATAATCCGTGAATTCCAGAATCTCCTACATGTGGTGTTCTGTTAAGCCGAATGCTGGAGCAAGAGCCGCAGAAGAGGCTTCAGAATAGGCCAGGCTCGATAACATATGATAACATTTGTGAAAGAACCAGAGCCCATGTTGTTAGAATCTCTGATTGCGCAATTTGTTCTTCCGAGTACCATCTCTCCACTGCAGAGTATTGTTTGTACTGCTACAGTATCTAGGTCCTGTACCGTTCGTATTGACCTGTTGTCATGGCCGTGGGGTTCTTACAAAGATGCACAATGTCAAAGAGGGTGCCGTGTTTCTTCGTAAGACCTGGAATCATCTGTGCTGCAGGGTGTGCTTTTCAGACCGTTTCCGGCCCACTGGAGGCCTGTGGGGTAGGGGCTTGCACGGGTAATTACTCGTGACTGCCATCATGATTCAAAAAACCAGAACTGATAATGGCTGCAGCAGTTGTAGTAGCAATAGTCGAAGCTGCAGAAACAGTAGCGGAGTAGGGATACCTGTGATAGTTTTCGTCGTAGCCGGTTCCATCGTCGTCGTAGAAATGGATGAGGCTCAGGAGGTGTAGCACCAGAAGCAGTAGAACCAGTGCATTGTCTTCCTCTGATATGCTGTATGTTCAGCAGCAGTAGAAGTAGCAGCAGGCGTCGTCCTTGTAGTAACTCGTTAGTAGTTTGTAGCTAGGAGTCTGCAGGACGAGGGAGGAGGTGGTCGTGGGGATGGTGAGTACCAATCATAGCCATCAGAAGTAGAAGGAAAAGGAGGAGGTGGTTGTGGGATTGGCAGCGGCGGCGCTAGTAATGCAAACAATTGTGGTAGCGTGACTCCAGTTGCCGCCGACTTATGAAGTGGGTAGGATATGGTTTCAGGTATGTTGAGAACACATAGCTACCGCACGTTCCAGCCAGCTATACCCCAAGCTTGAAACAGCTGGCGGGCACGGGTTTGGTGCAACTATACCATACGGAAGCTACTTGAAGCACCAAATCATTGCATTTCTCAGGGATAGGACCATGGCGCTTGGGCAAATGTTAATCGCATGTGCTAGGCATGCATACCTTAATAACGAGCATGGCCAGCAAGCAAAAACAAACAGCATACGAAAATCAATAAAGTATCCCAGCCACGTTAGGCCGTCTGCCCTAACCGTAGCCTGAAAGTACTTGGCGCTGCAACTAATTAGTTGCAGTGGGCTCCTAGACCCGAAAGCCTTATGCACGGACATGTGGAGTTCATGCGTACCTTGACATTGGTTGCCCGCACTATGACTGTCAAGTAAAAGGACAGAC